TGTAATTGTACAATCTCAATAGGTTAATCGAAGGGAATAAATTGATAGGATAATCATCCCGCAATTACGGGTACAGGGTGTTTCATGCCAAGTTCCTTATTCTACGTTAACTTGAGAATTCCACTGACTTATTCTTGTCCAATAAAAATGCTATTTTTTTAGTTAAGATCCAATTAACTTATTATTTTAGAGAATATGCCACCAGTAGTAGTTTCAACGAAAATTTTTCTTGACAGATTAAAATGCCAAAAGCAAAAACATGTCATTATGTTGTATTAATAATAATAATAATAATAACTAAGGATTAACGTTATATAATCGTAAGACTCCGAAGATCTTTGTGACAGAATCCCTTCACAACTACGTGGTTTGTGATTTTGGGTTTCCGCCGCCATTTAATGAGTCGGGACCATTTCGAGGTAAGGGTTGCTCGACAAAGCTGAGCTTTCATTAATTCCTGCTTGCCAACTTCACATTTCGCTAATTTACCTAACGACAATTGATCGAGGTGTATGATTTGTTATTATTTAGTCCCTTTACCTGTTGGTCTGCCTTCTCAGCATCTGATTCTACCATTTAGCCATTTCATTATTGCCAGCTGGCAAATTTTTGTGCGTCGGATCGAGGTTTTATTGGTTGAAAAAGGGTTAAGCCCTTCTATATTCAGAATATAATTTGCTGCATATACCGGTGGCGTATGAAAAGATCCGGTTCCTGCGCTTCTACCAGGAGTGCATTAATTTTGGAGTATAATTCATAGTTCGAATGGAACGTCGTAATCCTTTATTGTGAATCTGATCTAGGCGTTGTAATTGATATTGATTTGAGGAATCAAGTAGTGCTCTCGTATAACTGCGATACATTCTCAGTGCAACACACGTATGCACTCCACCAAGTCACTTTTGATTTAGCCGCAGAAATTTCTAGTACGAGTATGTCGTTGAAAAATAGTTCTACCAATGCCTTATTTAGGGTTTCTACAACATTTTTAGTCATCATGTGATTAGAATAATACTCGTATATAGCAAAGTCATCTGCATATTGAATGATATTAATTTCCTGCTTTATTAAAACCCTCCCCACCTCTAAGAGGGTAAAGAGCTCTTTCAGGAAGAGACTATATACACGGTTAGGGTTGGCTTTGGACATAATCTGGCGTATGGTTTCCCAGAAAATCCGTTATCCAGCTCGTGTCATACCAGTTTGGGTAGATGACACCACCGTAAAATTTCCAAATAGTTGGCCATATTTTTGTGGCGGCCTATTTAATGAGTTGCAAACTGAAATGAAACGAGCGTTTTTTGTGCTTGAGACACATTTTTGTATAGGCCACAGTTTCTTGGAAATGAATGAAATTTTCGAAAGTTTTGCCTTCTTTGTATAATCTTAACGCTGTCCTTCGTAATTTGACTACATGCTCGCACTGTGCGTCGCACGAGGGTGGAGATTGCTTTGACCTTAATTTGGTATGGCTTTTTTTATCCCAAAGACTGTATCCGCTACCTCGCCTATAACTGGCGCTAGTGTTACTTAGTTATTATTTTTAAATATTTTATTGAAATTGTCCTCCATTATGGAAAAGCAATGAACCCTGCAATGAACTGAACGATTTACTCAATTCAATACGGGGAGATGAGGTGAAAACGCTCACCTGAGCCAAAAATAGGGTTGGGCTCCCTTCTGCGGTGCGGTAGAGGTACCCTACGCTGAGTAGAAAATTTGCAAGGCAAAAGTGAGAATTAGCCAAAGTCTAAATACTATTAAACTGTGACGAAGAAAATTTTGAAGGAAGGAAAGAATGTAGCATTACGGCTCCAGCTGCTCTCGGTGGTATGGGGTGGTTCGACGAAACTGGAAAAAACTGCTCGGAGAATGTAGGCACCACTAATTTTTGTTAAATTTGGGCGTACAGGAAAAACTAGAACCCTGCTCCTGGTGATCTGGAAATGCAAGACAAATAAGGAGGAGAAAATAGAGAAAAGTAGTGAAATAGGAATATTTTTATTGTAGGGCGAATGATGGTGAATGAGAAATGGCAGTGGAACGATAACAGGGAATTAAAGCAAAAAAATCACGGAACGAGATCTCGTCTCACACTAAGACACAAAAGTGACTAAAATACTTAATTAAACGGATGGTAAGATGACTGAATTAATGAATTAATGGTTTTTTTTAAAATAAACTTAACGGGCAATCATAAGTGAATAACGGTGAATTGGAAGGTGCTTAGCTGTTTTCCTGGCTCCTGAAGTTGTCCAGCGGTTGTTCGGCAGACTCGGTGAATAGACCAGTGGCTAAGTGTGGGGAAAATAAGGATAGGGAAGAGGGTAGGAGGGATCAAATGGAAAGAAATTTGAGGGTACCGATAGAAGACTGAAGACGGACGACGAAGACTGAAGGCGGACGACGAAGACTGAAGACGGACGACGAACGACGAGAGACGAAGAGTTTGAATCAGTACGGTACAGGTATAATAAATAAGAAGGGGAAAAAATACAAGGCCCTAAAACAAGACCAAAAATTACAAAGCAAAACTATCACAAAAAGGCTACTTACTAGATGGTGTGGGCCTTAAATGTAGAAACAATATAATATTTTAGGTGCTATAATTGGTGGTAGTAAATTAACGCTCGGATCCTAAAAAGGCAACGAAAAAATAGAAACGACACTGAACAACACGAATACTTACAAAAGGGGTTGAAACTCGGCGAGCAAGAGTTAAAATATTTATATTGATTGTACTCGGAAACACAAGTGCGCCTCTCCACTACTCTTGATCCCCAAAATAGGGTTTAAAAGGACGGATACTAAATCCTTTTGTTGAGTAGGGTGACTTTTAAGAGGGTAATATCCCAAAAATTGTTGGATAAATGCGGCTATAAAAATTTCGCACCTCACAAGCACACTACAGAAAAATGACAATTATCGAAAACAGAAAACGAAACGTAGAAGATTTTGAAAAAAAACGAACAGTAATACCAATAATCAAGGAACATAAAAAGTTAGCGGGAAAAGAAGAATAGATTTTTGAAAAGAGCGGGAAAGAATAGCGCAGTTTACAAGAACTGACAATAGATGACACTGAAGCGGACCAGAGGCGTAACATGGAATAAAATACTACACATAAGCTTCGAAAATTAGAATAGTGAAAACAGTAAGGAACGAAAAAGCGTGAAAAGGTAAATACAATTGTAAGAAGAGAGCAAGAATCCAAAGAAGCGAAGAAATCGAAAGAAGAAATTTAAGCAAATAGGCACGCCTATGTGATGAAAATCAAAACAAAATAAACAAATTCCTAACCTAAAAATCAAAATAACTAAAGCAAAACTAAACTAAAAATGGACCTGTAACAAAATGTACCAGTATACTGTCAGTAGCGTACGCAGGATTTTTTTTCGGGAGGGGCTGAATCTCGAGAATTAAGACCAAAGTATGTAAATTGTCAAGTATGTCGTACACATTCGCAAGATCAAGTAAGCGAAGGAAAAAGTAAGGTAGTTTTTTCAGCAACTGCAACATTTTTATTGTCGCTTGGCATTTAAATAATTATACCATGACTAACGACTTACGGGATGTGCCGCTGAGTAGTTAAATCGATTATTTCGGGGGGGGGGGGGCTGTAGCCCCTTCAGCCCCCTCTTTGCGTACGCCGGTGCTGATTCTACTTACCTTTTCACTAACGATGATTATACGATAAAATCCTCGACCTCGTAATACAAAGGTGATAGCAAAAACTGCACTGAGGATTATGTAGATACTGCATACATACGGTCGACTGATGGCGTACCGATTGCGATTGAATGGCAAAATTAATAAGCGAATTTTATTGTATAATATTTGACGGGAGTAGGTTTGTAGGAAATTTTTTGGTGTGGGAAAGGTATTTTTGTCGCGCAACAAATACAGAGCAAAATATTGTTTAGATTTTCATGGCCCACGACATGACATTTAGTGATCGCGGCGAAATTTCCGTCTCTAATATGTGTATGACAGGGTAATTTATTTCTGCTATCCGAAACGATACAAGAAGTGATTATATTTGTCAAGTAAATTACCCTTCCCAATTTTACACGTGTCAATTTTAATAACAGGTTACAGACTTGCGAATTAATCGAAGATTTTGCCGCCCGTGTTCGCAAAATGGTGTGCAGTTAAATGACAAACTAATGGCATCCCTTCCTCTTAAAAACCGAAGTAAAACGATTGAATTAAGTACCTAAATGGTATGTTAGTTGCCTATGTGATATGTAAAGGGTCATTAAATAAGTCAATGACTGTACAAATTGGTGCGAAATGAATAAGAAAAATTTACCTATTAATGTTTTAATGAAATTGTAGACTCTGGTTATATTATGTATTGAAATTGTGCAAAGTGTCAAAATCATGATGGTACAAAACCTATTTCAAACAATATAAATTAGAACAAAAGTAGGTATGTACCTATAGAATTGCAGCATTCAGATGAAACCCCAATACTTTTTACACTGCAAATTAGTAAGAAATTGGTATTGTTATTGTGGGTTGTGGCGTTAAGTTGCGTTTTAGGGTACAGCTACAAAATGTATTGCTTACGATATAAATGACTATGGATGAGTCACGGTAACAGTGTCACATGTTACAATTAGCAATTGCCAGTAGTGACGGTTGCCAGTTATTGGTGACAATTGGCGACTGCCAGTGAGAAATGATCTTTGCTTATCCAATCCTTATGACTGTATTTCATGCTCAGGAGAGATAAGATTATTCTGTCCCTGGTGATCATTATCTTCAACTTGGTTATCGATCGTGGTTGGCTCAGCGGTTTCCAGAATACTATGTGGAGTTTGCTGGCGAAATTCTTCATTTTCAGTTATATTTACAATTTCATCTTCAGGTGTGTGTTGCGCAGATGCATGTATGGTATGATGGTCTGGTGTATGAGGCGAATTTACTTCTACTATTTGACTACTCCGATCCTTTTCACGTGCGTTTGGTGACGTAGGTACAGGATGAACCACTGCTCACACTGTTATAGATCCCGGGTTAACATTTCTCTCATTTAAAAGCTCGAGAGCTTCTGGAGAGACATCAATTTGCACATCACGTACAATATTTTCGTTACTGAATTCCGTGTTAGGAAGTGTGTTGCTGGTGTTAATCTCAACGGTATTATCTGTGACACTTGCCGGCATAAAATCTTCATCCATAAATACATCTGGATTCAGTGGCCAAATACCAGTTGCTTTAAATGCACTTTCTGCCTTTTCGAGTGAGGCTACTCTTTTGTAGGCGGCGCCAAAAAGTTCTCCAACTTTAAATTGCGTTATGCAACGTCCAGCATTAGTGACCATCCACTTATCCGTCTCTTGGCTGTATGCTGTTTTCAATGGGCCATAAAACCCTACATCCAATGGCTGGAGTCTGTGGCTACAATGTGGAGGGATGCTCAGCAAAACAATACTATGTTCTCGACAATAACTGATGCACTGCAAAGATATATGAGAACTATGATTGTCCATTAGCAACAAAACAGGGTCCACTGCGGTGCTTTTCACGTATTCTTGAAAATGTTGAATCCATTCAAAGAACAAATCTGTATTTATGAAGCCCGAATCGGATACTAATACCTTGGTTCCTGTAGGTGTACCATTTAATAATTCATCTTTTTTCCTTTTTCGGGAAAAAATTAGAGTAGGGGGTACATAGTGTCCCACTGCAGAAACACAACATACAGCCGTAGTCAGTTGACCACGTTCGGATGAAACAATCTTCCCTACCGTCTTCTTACCTTTCTTACTTATAACTTTTGGAACCTTGTTGGGCACAGTCATGATCGAAGTCTCATCCATGTTATAGATTCTTCTTGCGGAAAACTGGTATTTTAAATAAGCAGCTTTTAAATTTTCATAAAATCTAGAGACCTGTACCTTGTTAAAACCCGTGGTCCTATAGCGATGCTTGTTTTTTCGGGTTGCCTTATAGACAGGTTGTGTCTATCTCTATATCCTTTACACCAATCGTCCCCTGCTTGTTTTTTTTCCTTATTAAAAGGGTGTTGTATGTGGTTAGCTTCTGCAAACTCAAAAGCTAAAAACTGCAAATCTTTCATTGTGATTCCATAAAAAACTTGGTCCAATTTTAAAATATGGTTTCTTAGGCTCACTTCCATTTCATCAGAAAACACTCTACGAAATCTACCTAGAGAAACTGGAACTGAATCTGCTTTCAATCTTTTTCTTAAGGTACTTTCATTTATGCCTAAATCTACAGCAATCCTTCTTTTTGCGTCTCCATTTTTCAATCTTGTCCTTACATTATTCATAACTGCCTCCGTGAATATCAATTTACGTTTTGAAGTCCGCTTATATCGCGGGCCCATATCTGAAAATAAAAACATTATTGCTACTGGCCTCACTGTCCAAGAGTACGCATTGCGCACTTTTGGACAGACGCGAAGTGCGCACTCTTGGACAACGGCGCACAAGTAAATAAAAATACCGTTTAAAATTAAGCGTTTCGTTTCCCTCCAAAATGTATCAGCCTATATCATGATAAAAACATAACAAATAGTACATATTTGATTGGAAACGATTGTACTTTATTAGCAAACACAATAAACGTTAAGTCACGGACCTTAAAAATTACATCATACATCAATCCAAACTGAACTTACCTATAATACCGTTATTAGTCACGGGAACTTAACCAAACTTTTCACAAACAACCTTTACGCGCCAATACACGACTTGCAATACGACGTGGATGAATATGATTTAAACTGTTTTTATTAAATGCAATTCGTACTCTTGGACAGTGCGCGCTCTTAGGCGGGTTTACCCTATGCACAGCAAACATTTTTTATGAGCTGAACAAACAGATTTAGGCGAGAGAAACGAAAACGTCAATCTGGCCTTTGAGTTACTTTCAATCTCCGCTAATTAAAAAAGTATGTTTAAGTACTTTGCGTAGGGCGCTTCCCTCCGGCTATGAAAAAATGAGCGAGGCTCTACTTTAGCTTCCTCATCAAAATCGTCGATTTTATATAAAATACACGAGAAGCATTTTTCAATTGAAATTTACCTAAACATAAAAAATAAGGATTGGGATTAACGCACAAATCGAAACTTGATCGAAATCGCTCCCATGGCATTTGTCTCAAGTCACATTGGACAGTAAAATTAATTATGTACGTACGCTCGATTAAAGCGCTTTTTAGATCGGATAATCACCGTAAATCGATGTTAAACTTGCTATAAACCTGTTTGGATGAAAGTTGATTGCTATCTCTTCGCAAAATGACATTATGATGGATGTTTCATAGCGCTCCTGGATAACGTCATGTTGGAAACTTGCTTGAACTTGGAAACTTTCCCAAATGTATTCGAACGCGCAGCAACTTGTCGCTATAATTGAAATGCTCTTTTAATGTACTTAATGTTTGTTAGTTCAATGAATTCATCTTCGACTTTTTCGTAGTTGAAATAAACGGTTATCTACTTCCCTTTTCGATCAGCTTCAATACATTTTTAGAGGGTGGCTCATCTAGAACGAGCTAACCATGGTCACTGAAAAATGAGAGATCGTCACTAAACATATTATCACCTAGGGAGACATAATTAACGTTTTATTTGGGATAGCTAGACAGTTGTGTGCGTTTTTACATACACGTGGAGATCGAGAGCAATTGACGAGACCACGGATCAAACAGAATTACGACAAGAAATGAGGGAGCGCGATGTACCGTTGCGATCGTTTTCACGTGTCCGAGCTCCAATATTCACCAGTTATTGCCACTTGAGCAGTGATCTTATTAGTAGATATCCTAAACGAGGTTTATAAGCGATGGTTAATTAGAAACACTTGCGAAAAGGTATCATGTATTGAATATTAATTAAGGGATATACACAGGGTAAACTTTTGCTACAATTTGAAGCATAACAAATTATTTAAATTAGGATTTTCCTTAGTTTGCGCGCACGTGTTCGGTTCTGTATTTGGAGAATATTGTAATGCTAACGTATTAACAAAATAACAAAAAATCAGTTTAAACCACAATAAACGTTGGAATTACGTCTTTATGTTAGACTGATCAATGCAATTCACAATTATATACCTATAAACTAAAACCAAACGCCCTTAGTGAAAAGGGTTTTTTGTTTTGTTTTCTATCGAAATTGTGACAGTTTACGTTTACAATGCGACACATCAACTATTTGCTAACTTTATCGCGTTTTGCTACATTGGCCGATAAAAAATCCGATATTAATTCTGCACCAAAAATTATATATGTAACCTAAAAATGGCATCGAGTTTACCAAGAAAAAGTAAGCAACTTATTTCTAATCTTATTCGCTATTTTGAACGAGAAAGGGGAATCAGTCGCAGAAGTAAGAGAGGTGAGCGGTTACTTTAGTAAAATTATAAAACCAAGTTTCATTTCACAGAGAATTGCGGATACATTAATCATTAGCCTACGAAGAGTGACTACTATTTCACAAATTTCTAAATAGGGCAAACCTTAAAATCGAATTGCAAACTTTTTGATTTATGAAGGTATTTACTTTGTGCCATCGAAAATCTGAGGGTGTTGGATTATTGGGGCTTATTCGCAGTATTGGCCGTGTTTTTAAACATATAACAATTTTCTCATAAACGTCATTTGAATGTTGTGAAATCATAGGCAGAGAGTATCCAAATAAGCGGTGGATACTATTTACCGACCGGCATCTTTATCATGTCGATGAACCTTCTTCCAGTCATTTAATGGAAATTTGTGCTGAGCTCCTACAGGAACGGACCATGGACTAAAACAAATGATTGTTATGGAATGAAACGCCAGAAGAAACGGTGGACTAGATGTACTTGCGTAGAAATATTTTCTTTATACAAAAAAAACAGCTTCGTATAAGTACATTGTTTGGAAAATTGCTTGAAACCGTTAATAGGGTTGTTAAAGTCGATGGTAAGAAATTGGAGACCGTGTTGACTCCAGGAGATCGTATTCTGTATTATTTGTTCAGCCGTAACACTATCATCAATTATTAATATGTTTGAAGCGCAATAGGTCATCATAATGTACTTAACATTTTACTGATAAAACAGCGACACAGTACTTCGAATCCTATACGAGTTCTCAAATATATGTGTCAGGATGGCCGAGCGGTCTAAGGCGCCAGACTCAAGGTTACACTTGCCCGATCTACCGGGTGTTTGGGAATTCTGGTCCTCTATGAGGGCGTGGGTTCGAATCCCACTTCTGACAACTTTTTTAATGTAACGAGCCAAGAAGTACTGATGTATCACTGTCACTTTTCCGGTGTCTAAATATTGCGTAAAGGAATTCGTCGAGAAGACGACGTTTGTGTTTTTCCTTTGTTACAATTTTTAAATTATTTTTTGGTTTGGTTGTCGGAAGGGAGAAATTCCCACCCCAAAGCAATACCAACAAGTAGCGGTACAATATTGTTCCTTTTCAGGTGCATATCTTTAGTATGTCGATGTATTCCGCTCATTCAATAGAAATTTGTACTGAGCTACTACAGCAATGGTTCCATGAACTGGAACAAATGATTTTTATGAAATGAAATACCTGAAGAATCAATGGAAAGCATGTAACTGGTTGTGTAGATAATAGTTACATAGAGAAATACATTTTTTATCCTTTGTACGGTTTTCTTAATAGTTAGGTACGTAGAAAATAAAAGGAATGCCATCGTATTGTTTGGGAAAATTTCCTGAAGTCATCAATGGGTTTGTTAAAGTTAATTGCAAATAATTAGAGATCGTGTTGATTTACGTTGAACAAACTGTAACACTATCAATTATTAATATATTGTAAAGGCAATAGGTCATCATAGTGTACTAACATTTACTGATAAAACAGTTATAAGCGACGCAGTAATTCGAATCCTATACGAGTTCTCAAAAATACATAAATATGTCAGGATGGCCGAGCGGTCTAAGGCGCCAGACTCAAGGTTATACTTGCCCGATCTACTGGGTGTTTGGGAATTCTGGTCCTTAATGAGGGCGTGGGTTCGAATCCCACTTCTGACAAACTTTTTTTAACCTTGGGGTTTATAGTCATTCAGGGTGTGTGAATACTTCTCATAATAAGATAATTTGGAAGACTAGGTTAATGTCAATGCAAAATTTCTTCGCAAGGGCTTTATAAAGGTATATCTAAATTTATCGATTAATTTTTGTTTATTGCGTACTATCGTATTTTAAGTGTAGTAATTTGGTTGTCGGTTAGAAACTAGGTAAGAGGTTGAAATATACTATATCTCAAAACTAGTAGTACTTGCATTGTTTACAGTACCGTAACAGGATCATTTACCTAATGTCAAATGCATTTTATAGTTGCTACGAGTATTTAAGTGTAGTTGGTAATTGGAAGTTTTGTTTGCTTTATATACCTATTGTTGGTCATTTATATTTGTAATTTATGTTGAATAATTTAGTCTGTAATTATTTGTTGACAACTGCAAATTCCGTTATTGGGTATTTTACCCGAAAATAATACATATTATTAAAATATCATCTCGTTAAAAAAGTTGTCAGAAGTGGGATTCGAACCCACGCCCTCATAGAGGACCAGAATTCCCAAAACCCGCTTTGCGGGCAAGCTTAATCTTGAGTCTGGCGCCTTAGACCGCTCGGCCATCCTGACATGGACTTGTTTCCATTGAATAAGTAACCATACTTATTCAATGTTGTCTAGCAAGATAAAGTGTTATCAGGGATGTAGGTATTTATAACACTTATTACAGTGTATAAATATAAAACAAACGTGAAACGTGCGCGTCTTTTATATTTAGATCTACATATTTATAATATTATTTCTTGT